GATTTTCTTGAAGTCTGTTAGTCAATACCTTCGTGAAGATCTCATAGTGGTTGGTGACAAACTGAATGACATGTCATTCTTTATCTCCTCCTCGTCTCCTTTTGTAAACTAGAATCAATGATCCGGTAGTCAAATCGTCTTAAATATTCAGTTTCTTCAAAAACCATGAAAACAAGCTAATATCTTTGTCAGTGCTTCACCTCCTGATTCCACCAGTTTCACTGTAATGCCATCTTCGCATCGAGTACTTCATTCTTTTGCTGGTCTCGTTGCCTGCCGCACTTCGGGCGAAATATCGGGAATTTTGCCAGCTTCCTCTATATCCTTCCTTCTGTCGCATAATATATTACCTTCCGTTTACTATTTTCTACAACCGCTTCAGATTTAGCAGAGCCAGTTCCTTCAGGAGTACGGTAGTCAATCGCTGGTCTTTTCCTTCTGGATCCTCTAGAGATTAGTTGATGTTTTACTGCACATCTACAAAGAGTTTATTCTCCTAACTTCAGATATCAACCTTGACTGTTTCGGCGAGTAGTAAGTCAACTGTCCACGATCCACGCAACGGATGAGGAGGGTTGTGGATAACGGTAGATATGTAGGACTACTCCATATCTCTCACATTTTTAACTTCACGCTCATGTATTTTGCGTGTCTGTTGCTTCAAAGGTTACGTCTAAATGAGATTTGAGCTGTTTTATGACGTCAACTACCGCTAAAGTGTGATTACTTTAAAACGCCTGTCAATCAATCTAGGAACAAAAAAGCATTTGCATAATGTCATTTAAACCGGAACGTAGAATTATGTTTAAAATATAAATGCCTTCGGTATAAATTCGCTTTTTCACTTTCCTGCTAGAAGAGTCTGTTCCAAACATCGTTATTTAAGCGTCAAACGATAATCGAACCGCGGTCCGGGTAAGTGGTCATCGATTTATTTAAGAATACGAAGCAGTTCCATAACTCTGTCAAAACCAGATTAACAGAATTACGTTCACTGGCATAGTCCGAGTTTAAAGCCGCTATGTGATAAATGTTAAGGCATATAAGTGATATCATATCTCTAGGTATGATCGACAACGCAGTACATACTGCTGTACTAAGCATGGGTGATGGAAGACGCTGCAGTTGTTAAAATATCACGAAACCTCACGCGCACTGAATGTCCCGCTGGCAATGACCAGCGAAAGAGTGGTGTTACAACGTCACGTGGGCAAATCTAATCACGTTTAGTAATGAGAAACATAAACATGAAGCCGAAAACCACCACTTTTGTCATTCAAAATACCGGCTAGCCGATAACCTTTTTTTTTAAAAACAGCAATAAACAACAACGAAAAGCTTACGCAGTTTATAAACCTAAAACAAAAATTATACAAACCACTACAGTATTCAGAATCTGGTAGAAGTTACGCAATGCATATTCAGAGAAGAGCGAAATAACCAAAATACTTTTGGTGAACGAAATTGAGTCCATTTAAGAGAGTAACAACACCATAAAGTTAAAAACTACGCAGCGGCGGAAAGCGTTATAACGGACAAACCTAGTTCATTTGCATACAACAAAAAGGGTTATCTGACTGCTACTTTAAAAAGTATTTAAATAAGTGGCATTTATACATGACACAATCAAAATATGAACTATGCATCAGGCATAAGCGATCGATCATCAAGTAAATGCTAATACTTGAAGAAAAAGGGCAAAGCGTTTGCCGTTTAATCTGCATCGCGGCCTGTGGTACAAATTTGTTTTAAAACGATGCAACTAAAGAAATACGGTAAAACTGGACCTCAATAGTGCTAACAGCCAATGCATGCAAATCGCTTCGTGCGCTAAAATCAAATTTACCATGCCCATAATGACTACTGGTGGCTCGGGTCGTAAACGACGTTAGATAAAGCAAGGAGATGCGTGCTTTCACAAAGAGTAGGGTGACGACTACAACATGGTACGATTACAAATTATGGTTTGCGACTGTAATCATACGGTATGGAAAAATCATTTACAAAATAGTCCACCATGATGCTCCACCGTAGGATTGCACATCAAGCGGACAGCACTCCAGGCCGCAGCACTGTTGCGTCTGCCTATCGCATCTGCAAATAAAAAACAAATTAATCTGAAGTCAGTCTCGCTTTCACAACGTATGCTACGTGACTATCTCAAAGCTGTATTGAAGCGGCTAACAGTGAATACAAAAATTTTATAAAGATAATGTAAAAGTAATTTTATCCGAAATATAAAAGCACAGGTGATTTTTTACTCGAGCTTCAGAATTGCTGAAGATGTACTTGTGAGAAAAGTAATCATTTCAATAGAAAACTGAGTTTTCGATAGAATATGAAATAAATTATTACTTCGTTTAATAGCATTAGTCACGAATTACATTTTCAGAATCTTGTTCGGTGTACTTCTAAATTAATTTTCGACCGTGTCTTACAGCCGTTTCAACATGATCATCGAAAATATCTTATCCGGCGAATATAATAAACTAAGTCTGCCACAGTTCGAAGAGCATGTGTTATCTCAGATACGTGGATTCGCACTTTGACGACAACCTTCTTTCAATCGTAGGAAATCTTTGCTCAGTTAACGTTTGTCCAAAAAAATGGTAGAGCTCAAAAAAGTGTATTCGCAACTGGATCTGATCAACGCTTGTGTTTTCTCATCTTTAGAGGGTTTAAACATCTGCTTACCAAAATGCTAACAATAAGCATAACGTCTGTGGTTTGTGAATCCACCGTATTTGTAGCTTCATAATACCTTTACCATGAGGCACCTCTTACCGCATTGTAGAAGGAAATACTCTCCAAAAGCAGATCTGCTACTGTTCCTCCAGGCTGCATGCTGACCTCCTGGCTGAGGTCTGGTGTACTTCAGCTCCAACATGAGAAATTCATAGGCTGGAATAAGTTGTTTATGCTCCGTCAGTTTGTCTAACGGTCAAAGTCCTTTTTTAAATCTCTTGTTGATTTTACCTATGGCCGGAACAGAACAGTCATTCCTAGCGAAGGCCCGCCGTTAAATTCTGATTATGCGTCGAAGCAAACGATGATGCACGCGATTCAAGCGTTGTTCTTGCTCCTTCATTAGAACGACAAGTAACGAGCAAAGTATGCCTTTGCCAATACAACGCAATGCGCATCTGTGCACGACGTTGTAACGTGCTTGAAACATCCTCCACACTCACAATGGCAAAACGGCTAGTACAACTGTGCGGCAACTGTCTATCAATATACTGTAGACGGGTAGAAATCTGCCGATGCTTCCCGTTGTAAATATGCCGTATCGATCCAGAAAAGTATAAGTCATAAAATCACGTACGGTTTTTTATGCTGTACAGACTTTAAAGTAACCGTTAAGTTATAGGCAGCATAAATCAGCCATTAGAGATTTAGCAACAAAGAGTGGTGTAGTTTCTACGGATTCACGGTTGCCAAATCTGGCTGTATTCAAAGTTATGCAATGGGATATGGTTGATTCAAAAAAAATAACACCAAAAATAGTAAAATCAACAAAATCGTACTTACTCGAACAGTATTCTTCGGACCGGCGTTTTGTCCTCATAGAAGGCGTTAAAATTTTGCGCTCCTTCTTCAACTTGGTACTGGCAAGTAATTTTTCCATAACCCTAAGATTCAAACAATCAAGTAAGTAAACATTGTAAATAAACATGTAATTGTATTGCAGAGAGCGTTCAGATCAACGGAAAAAAACGTGACTGTGTCAAAATAAAAACCCCAGAATAAATTAAATATACCTTAGAATTCAAACTTAGTACAGGTAACGTGATTTGTAAAACTCTGAGCACGGCACTTCATGAGTTGAAATACAACATCGATATCAACGGAAAAAAATCTACAGTCAACGAGCGAAAACAAATATCTTGAAGCGATCATTTCTTATACTGTCAGCCTACATTATGGCAGCAAAGGAAAGGGAAAACTTATGTATTACTCGCGTCGTCCAAAAATGCCTAAGCACTGGCCGGATGGAGCTAGACATACTGACACACTATCTACAGTATTGCACAAAAATTATACTCGTCAGAAAGCACAAACTGCACGGCGTTCATGCAGAACGAACCACTGTGTAAGGCCATCACCCTGTGCTCAGGTACTACTAAATATAACAAAGAGTGAACGCCTACATGTCACTCATGATTACTTTTCCAATCAGCATTTTTTTACCCAGTCAGCAAAGAAAACATCTACTAAACGTCGTGTCCTGTTGCCACAGATTTAAAGACGATTATATCAATTCCGTAATCCTTGCCGCTGATGCGAGCTACTGCGAAGTGGCATCAGGAGCAATGCAGCTTGATGAAAGTTTTAAATTACAGTTATTAATATCAATTCCAACGGCTATCACACTCAAATTTAAACAAACAAGTGGCTGAGTCGAATACTGTTCAATATACAAATTCGAATCGAAACGCAAAGTTTGCAGCTTAGTCCATGTCACACCTATTAACAGACTGTTGTCAAGTTCAAAGTGAACTGTACGTGATATAATTCGCTAAAAGGCAACCTGACTCTTAACAGTTTCGTTGTAAGCAGTACATGTGAATGAATGAAACTCGATCAGACTGAGAAACCAATGAACATGATATTAAAAGTAAAGTCATCTCTACCGAAAGCGATCATTACTTCGGTCTCCGTACCTCAAATAAAGGTCGCGATGTTAATTTGCGATATGCTTATAATGGACACCATTTGTTGAATGGTGCGGAAGGCCAGTGGTGCGTTCGTCATACAGTCACTCATGAATGCCTCTCATAAATGCACTCTCTACAGTCCTGCCATAGTCACAGACTCGCTGGTGACCTCTCATTAATACAAGGAAGAAAGAAGAACGAATCGACTGGATATCGAAACCTCGATATCAGGCAGAGGTCGAGAATCGACCAGGTGTTCGAAACCCAATTAACTCTACTGCGACTGCGTTCCTTTACCGTTGACTACAACCTTATGGCATAAATACGACTACAATCTGTGCTTACTCACCGGTCCGGGATAATATCGATCGCCCATGTAATAGTACATGCCATTGCGAAACAATTTCGACGTCGCTTTGCCGACTTTGTATGCGGCGTATCCGGCGATCAGGCCGGCCAAAATGCCCTTCGTCCGCGGATTCTTCATCAGACCGTGCAAACGACCCTTGTTTTTTACATAAGACAAACCATGCGACGTATCGTGCTTCGGCTGTGACTTGTAAACACTATCTACCTTGCCGTGTTTTGGCTTTTTGCCGAATTTGAATGACGCCACCGGCGAAGGTAGGCAAAGGAAAAAAAGCAACAACCATGCGACTCGACCACCCATCTGAAAAAAATCTATTTAATAAGAAATCAATTATAATAAACGTCTGACGACTTACACTCATAACAACGTATTTATCAATTAATTAACATTTTTTTCAAATATTCAACATCACGCAGCATACAGTAATTGCCATTTTTAAATACAGCCTGCAACAGAACAACGATTATAAGCTGTCGACAAAAGTTCAATCAGAATATCATCTCCTAAACAAACGACACGATATCTGATAATGCATTTCTTCTGACAGTAATTACCCTGAAATTATTTAATGAGTTTTTTGTGCGAGAATTCTTCTCACAAAAAAACTTCCTAAATTACGATGAAATGAAGCGGTCAGCTCTCCATGATGTCCGAAGGTGCTGGGTTTCCGCGCATAAATTGCAACGCGGTCCACAGGCATCATTCCATAGGAAACTACAGATATGATGACCATATTTTTTTACCTCCACAATGATCGTTAGGAAAAAAAGTTGAAAATATGCAACAAATTTCATGTAAATCTCAGCTTGATGCCTACCCACGCAGTCAGTCAGTCGACCAGTCAGCCAGGAAAGAAATACAAAGTCACTGACCCGCGAACAGCAGAGAAGCGGTCATATTTTGGCGTTATCATACGACAAAATGCCAAATTTAAAGCCAAACTGTCTAATAGACGCACATTACAGAGCTATTAGCCAAGGCCCACCTGACAGTCCAGTAAATCAGGACAAAGTTTAACTCGTATAATAAATGATAAAGGTTTCATAAAAAAGAAAAACAGTTTGTAACTATTCAGAATATGCAATTAATGTTAGTCTGTACTATCTTTCTTCATACCCGTCACAACACCTTCGGCGAACATTGCGATACTTTCTGAAAGCAATGTTCACAAGCAGTGATTCTCACGCAAGCATTCAGTCTCGTACACAATTTTCTGATCGTTATATTACGTTTGACAGGATGATAAATGACTGCGAACATTTTTCGAGACATGCTTGGTAGAAGGCTGTAAGTGAAATTCTTCGCTTAAATTGACAACTTAAAAGCAAAACACGATTGCCCCCTCCCCACGCTCGCTTCAGGAGTACGAAATAGAGGCATTTCTTAATGTTTTTGTTCTAATATGTGAAAGACTGATCTTCTTCACATAAGAACTGCTACAAGGCCAGATAGCTATCAAACGCCATTTCCACGATAGCGGGATACATCGGAGTTAATGAAATATCTTCAGACTTATTTTAACCACCGGAGAGTTTTAAGTTTTGAGACTTCGTCATAGCATGGAATAACCTACACTTGATTGACCGCCAACTACCATACCGATGCAATATAGGCTTGATTGACAATGAAGCAAGAGACTATTACAATTAGAGAAAATCAGACTTAGAATCAAGTAATTAAAACAAAGCTCGGACTAACTTCTTACAACGGGTACAACTTTGAAATGCCTGGTAACTGCCTACTGTCGTATTCGACACGAGTTCGATCACCTACGTTCTGACATTAAAAAACTTTCAGTAGATTATTACCACTCTATAACAACGTGCATAACGAGTATATATCGAAAGAACGGCTCTCAAAAATGTTGAATCACTAGACCAAAGCAACGACGTCTCTTAGCGGTGACAAACAATTCAAATATTTAGATCAGGAACAGCAAGAACTGGTTTGGTTTCATTTTGGGCAATCTGGCAAGAGCAAGTGCGAGTGGCTCAAATGAAAATAGAGCAATTTCAATGTTCAACAAATAAATGGACATACGACACAACATCACAATTCTACAGTCCAATTACCATTAGTGTCATTCTATGCCAAGAGCCTAAATACGTCATGCATATCAGGAAAGAAAAGGAAATTTTGTCATCGTTTGAATGTCGACGTCCATCACTTTTATAATAAAGCCCTTTTGGCAACCTTCTTTTCATGAAGTTGATAGTACGGTGCTGATTTCTATTTCTATGGTATCAGCCAGGAGTGCCTGAATTTTTTAAAGGTAAAATCTACAGTCATGTATTCGTCTGTTTCCTTTCCACAGATTGGTACACATTTATCAACTTCGGAAGGAAGAAGGGTGAGGCATGAACTCGGGACCTATCGGCTCTGAAATGGATGCTTTATCGACTGAGCAACCCGGGTCTCAAGCCATATCTGGTAAATTCCTTGATCAAGGGAAATCGTGAAAAAGACAAAGATTGCCTGTCGAGTGCAATCGAACCCGGCACCTCCGTAGTAAAAACGCTTTTATTCCAATGTTTTCATAGTTCACCGAATGTTTCATCCTCAGAAAGCATTTAACAGTTTTAGTGCTAGCATAAGGGACAGAGTCCAAACCATGGCTACTGCGTAGATGTCTAGTTCGAATCGGCACAACCTTCTCAAATTCGCTTGAATAAGGTATTAACCTCCCTTGCTTCGGTGCTACCAGCCGAGAAACGATCATTTTTGCAAAAATTACGAACAGCCGAATATTCTATTCTTGTCGTTTCACTACTGGAAAGGGTGCAGCGCCATGTTTCCCAATACAACAACCTCTTATGGCTGCATTTCGCGTTGACTCACCTATCTTACCGCTGATTATCCAGTGTAATAATGAGTACAAGGTGTAACACCGATTTTGATATCAATCTATGTGTCGTTTGGCAATTTCATTTGCCGCATTACGTCTTTCCTCCAGCGAAACTAAGTTATCCAGCACTTCAGCAAAAACGGGCGTTGTAAATTCTTCGATAAATTCACACCATTAAACAGCTCTTCAAAACCATTATTATAAGCTTCTCTTTTCGTAGTTACGATGTTACAATGTTTACGATGTTCACTGCCTTGGATTATGACGTTCCTTAACTCAAAATCTGCCTTTCAATCAATACATCGTCCAACGAAGTAATCAGCTGAACTTTCAATATCTGTTCCGCTTAAACAGATCATAAGCTATTTTATCCTGTTTCTGAATTTTCGCGGTATTGAAACACATCACCTGCTGAAGCAATGCAGACCGTAAAGGTTCGATGATGGCAGAACACAGAATCGTAAAGAATCACACCATCCAGTGGCAAACAGGCCAGATAATTTTAACAGAAGAAATCCATTGAGAAACGAAGATATTGCAAGCCCTAATAGCGAAAAAAGCCAGTAAGAAAATTAAGACATCAATAAGCTTGATTACTTCTGCTACACCATCATCAGCGCTCCAATACCTAACTTTGTTGCATTATTTATTTTAACCGTGTGCTCTGTCTTACGGCATGTATTTGCGACTGCACCATCTGAGACAACCAACTGCATCTGTCGCGCTTTTGAACTTTAAACACAAACCCAGTTATAATAAGGCTTGGCATCCAAAACATATTTAGCTTGGTTAAATATTTATTAAATTTAAGTTCAAACAAGTGCCTCGTTCTGCTTGAAACTTTTTCGCAAGACGCACCCTAAAAATTAATAAAAATCAAATCATACGTTGGAACAAGCCATGCAAATAAAATTAGCAGTGCATATACAGTGGTTAAAGGTGCATACATGATAATTAACAGACACATACTTCGAAAGTGATTGATCTGCCAACGACCCCAGAACAGCGCGAATCCGAACTTGCTTATACTGAAAGGAAGCGAGGAAAAGTCATTTGGTTTCACCCGTATTCTATAGACATATATGCTACCTCTGCTATCATCACCAGACAACTGGGTGCATGAATTTACAATTCAGCCTCAAATCCCGGAAGAAACATATGCTATTCAAATCTTCGTCAATCACAAATTCAAACTAATTTACCTTGAAGCAGCCTTGAAAAGGATAACTTAGAAGACTTGACAACAGCAAAAACAGAATAACAGAATACGTGCGCAGAATAACACTGGCGTAGACTATGAAAGACTAGGTGTAATTAAAAACTCCGTATACTCCAAACCAGTTTAACAGGAATCACTTTGGCGAATCCCGAATTTAAACTAAGTTCAAGAAAACGAACGAAACGAATAATAGATCGATAGCAGTTCAAATGAACACACCTGAGTCACATGATCACCATATCATACATCAACCATCATAATTAGCTACCTTTTACAATTCACAACAACATTGAAAGCTTCTAGTTTGTTCAGGCAACTCCTTCGTATTAAAAGGTACGATAAAAGCTGCAGAATTCGCAACGTAATTTATGCTGTCATCCTTTAGTCGGAATTAGTACATGTACAGTAAACTTTAGATTTAGATTAGCAAGTTGAGTTGCTAAACATTATTTTTGAAGAAATTCGAGCCGCATTGGCATGAAGTACTATCAACTAACTCTTCTTACTGGAAAAAAGTTTTCAGTGTTATTTGAATGTGACGAATGACTCTCTTACGGCGAGCCGGTGGCCTTACGTCTGGCCGCTGTGGCTTGTATATAAACGGAAACGCTACTCATCATTCGAATGTCGGTTTTCATTTACTCTCATCATTGGACCGATTTTGCGCTCTTATTTTCATGAATTTAATGGTGCAGTGCTTTTCTCCTTTTCGATGCCATCAATAAGGAGTGCCATATTTTTAAAACGTAGAACATGCCTCTATGCATCTCCTGTTTCTCTCCTTAAAAGTGGAACTTATTTTTCAACCCCTGAAGGAGGGTGAGTGACCCTGACCGGGGTCTCAACTTTGGATTTATCGCTTTTGAATGCGACTCTCTGCTGACTGAGCAACTCCACTCTGAAACAATATAAGGCAAGTTCCTTGCTATAGGAAATTCGTGAATGAATCAGAGATTGCCCTTGAGCGGGATCGAACCCAAAGTTCGAAATAGACCTCTTCTGCACAAGCCAGCACGCCACGTCATTACGTGATATAAACAAGTTATGAGTAATAGTTCAACACCCCCTTGATAATTGCATAGCCTGGTTTATAAGATTCTCTAATTGAGCGTCCCGTTCAGAGGAAAGCAGAGTTCTGAAACGGCAACAGAGTTGTTTTGCCAGTCTGCGTTACAAAAGGCGGTTTGCCATGCGAAGACCAATGGCCAGAAGGAAGACTGAGTATAATTAGAAGCGTTATTCTTAGCAGATATCAGGTCAAAACTAGCAAACAATATTACACGACAGTTTTAGCACGCAGCAGTGGTGATGTTAGGTTGAAACCGCATTGGAGCATTTCAAAGTGCTTTAATCGTGACTGCAATTAAATGTTGCGGCTTAAATTGCACATTATTGCCATTTAGGGATTAGAAACAAACCTCTTAGCGACACTAAGAGTTAAACTGGCTGCCAATGAGAAGAAGCCTGCAATCAATTGAAAACTTGGAGTTAACAGCTTTCCTTGTTGAATTCAATATGAAAAAAACCTACTCTAAAGCAAAAACAGTTGCAAGACGAATGCTGATTCATGAGCATAGTTCAGTAACATATGGCAGAAGAACTTTTACACGGCAAATAATGAAGAGTGACAGAAAATCTGTCGCCTTAAAAATGTCGGGAAGCGCAATTTAAGAGTCCTGAAAATGCGTTTGGTCGTTCTCTTTTCAGTCAAAAGGATATGCTTCCACAACGAACAGAATAAATAGAAATCCTCACGAATGACTCAGAGACTAGCCTGAAGAGCTTCGAATGCAGCTCTTTGTAGAGGAGAATTAAAGAAGCTGCAATGTCCTTGAAACGTTACAAGGCTGCAGAAATCGGTGAACTCCGCCATGAAATGCTTACAGCATTAAGCGAGTTCGCATGTTCTGGCTTACAAGTATCTCTTAAACTACTTATCGGTACGAAAAAGACAACAATTGACTGAAGAACAGAGGACTCTGTAACACACTTCATGACAAATGACCATAGGGATTGCATTCATCGGGTCTAAACTTTATTAAAAATTCGGTGAAATGTCCCTGCAAAAGTCTAAGAATGGAGGCGTCGCATACTAATCGACTCGACGAGACACAAGAACAGCACCGTTGGTTGGGATCAAGCGGAAGTACCTTTGTTGACATCTTCATCTTACATCATATTTTAAAGAAACCATGGGATTTCGCTCATCCGGTTTCAATGTTTTGTAGAGCTGTATGTAGCCTATGAGCGGAACCCGCATTATAGACTCTAGGCGGGCCTGCAAACGTGTGTCCTAAATGGTCAGTTGCTGCGGGCCGACCAACCACTACATATTAGAAGCAGGTGCTGCGGCAAAGTAAATGGCGTTAAATCGAGACCTTTCAGCTTTAACACTGCTCCCCACCAAGGCTGCATTCTGTGCCCTCTTCTGTTTGCGTTGTAAATAATACAGTAGTCAAGCGCAGCTAAAGCGATAAGTGGATCAGAGTTGGAGATCTTGAGACGAGAAGATTGCTGTTTGCATGGGACCTTGTTTTGTTGGTATCTTTTGAAACTGATCCTAGATGATCTCTGGAAAGGTTAGCAAGCGCATGCCACGTGGTAAGGCATGCACGCCAACGTGTCGAAATCATAGGTCTATTGCTTTATCGCTCTCCTGCACGTTGCGCTTTGCAGAAAAAGGAGATGCATGGGAGATTATGGAAATACAGATGTAAATCAGGATCAAATTTGCTGATGATTGAAGATGGGAGAAAGTGATTGTCCAGAAA